AGTGTTTTTTTTTTTTCTTCATGATTTTAAATGCTTGAAATACCTCTAATAATGCTGGAAGTAGAAGCTTTAAGCTAAAACATGCTGTTATTTTTGGTCCCTCCTCTTGTGTCTTTGCCCCACCTTCATGGTTGGATTCCAGCCCGGAATGGAATTCAGCTTCTGGGCTGAAAAAGGCGCAAATGTTCACCATCATCACTACCACCCATGTTTCCTTCACCATGCGGTCTTCCAGCCCCCTAGTGGTACCGTTTCTGTGATGTCATGTTTCCCTCTTTATTTGTCAAACACTAGCTTTTTCAGTATTTTGCTTCTCTAGTATTTCTTTTTTCCACGTAGGCCTCTGGAAATATATTGTACAAGTAAGGCAGATGTAATAGTCCATTCATTTTTCCCATCTGTAATGAATATGGAAATGCACAGTTCTGAGAAAAAAAATCTAAAACTAAAGTGTGTGCTTTTGCCATGCATATTCATGCAGATGGACACAACTAGTTATTTGCAATTATATATGTGTAACTACCGATGTGGATCTTAATGGGAGTCTCAGCCTCAACATGTGGCAGCCTTCAAACCAAAGCCTTCTTATGGAATGGCGAATAACTGCTACTCAGGTGAGGAAAATAGTTTGAATGCTAATTACAGCTTTTCATTTGCCAAAAGCATGCCCATACACAGAAGGAGACGAGGGAGGAAGTTGGTCAGTTCCTCCAACCCGGCTAAAGACCCCCTTCAGGAGGGCTCTTCCTCCCTCTTCTGTCACCCCTGGCAGCCATTCCAGCAGGCTGAGCTGAGGGAGATGAGAGGGCCAATCCCCTGGCTCTTCTGAAGGAATTAGTTCCCCTACTTCTCCCCTACTCATTCCATTCCCCTTGGGTGTTGTGTCCCTCTCAGTAGCCTGGTTTGATTGATTTCACGTAAGCCTTTTTGACTGAGATGCAAGCTAAAATTACTCGATTCAGTTAAAGCTGGCCAGGCTGAGGCCATGTTGGTGGTAGTGGGAGGAAAGCAGCAGCAGCCAGGTGCACTGAGGTGCTGGCCCTGACATACGCCCAAGTGTGCTCATATTCCTGAAATAAATGATGCTATATGTGCAGTGAGTGGCATAAAGCTCTGTTGCTGTTTGTAGTATCATTTCAGTAGGATAAAACTCTTGCTGATCCTCCCTGCTTTATCCCAGATAAGTTATATTTCTCAAAGCTGGTGGAAAGGGGAATATAGTTATCTCCTGTATTCCATGATGGCAGCATTTCTGCTGCTAGGATCCAAAGAGCCACTTTGAGCTGCTGCTTGATAAGGCTGTCTGTGGGACCCCATAAACAGAAAACTCCTAAGAATTAGTACAACCTATAAGCATTAGCCTTACCTCCTCTTCTCTCTCTTCCAGCATGCTTATTCTTCAGAGCTGCTTTGCTGATAGTGGTTGTGTTTGCCTTGTTGATAAGCATTAAAAGCAAAACTCAGTAAAATATTTAATAAAAAGCCTACCTGTAGGACGGTGGCATTAGTTATTTCCCTCTCTATTTTGCTTACATCTTTGTGTTTTATATACATCTCTCTCTCTGTGATTATCCCCCCACACAATCCTTTTTATTTCCTGAAATAAAAATCCTCCTATGTTAATTCAGCCTGGCCATCTGCTTTCCAATCAAAAATGGAAATGGCTATTTTATTGCATTGGCTACTGATACTGGTCACCCCTATCGGTTGTTCACAAAAACCTTATGCCAGATGCTCACACCCTCCCTAGCAAATGGCACTGTATTTCTCTTGCTAGAAGGGGTTGGCTAGAGAATCTGGTGGTTCTGCAATGGGTTTGCAACAATTATACATTTATTTTAAATAAAATAGCCCAGTGGAATATCTCTCTTGTTCTCTACTCTTGAGTTATGGCTGAATTCAAAATCACCTAGAAAATCATTACTGTAGTGATCCTTACTGATATCAGGTCCTTGCCTTTTGATTGATCCTGTGTCAGGATGCTATGAAGAATTATGTGTGACAGTTCTGAAGGCTTATCTGTGAACCTACTCAGAATTACACCAGAAGACCAAAGCACCTCCGCAGTAGCTTTTATCTAAATAGAATAGGTGCAATATACATTTGTTAGACATTCTTACTTGAATAAGGCATGCTAAGCAATGTAAATTAATGCTCTGTTTTCTTTAGAGTTTTAAATAACTTGGCTTTTCATGAAACACAGCTTGACTATCACAAAATGCTTCGTGGATCATCTGTAAATGAAGGCAAATAATGTGCTCTGGCATTCTGTCAATAACAGTGAATTCCCTTTTTACGTTATATTTCCGTTTGATGTTTATGTTCAGTAGCTCCCTTGTTTCTTTGTTTTCTAGAGCCAGCTAGAATCTGCCATTCACATAATCTTCAAACTCACTCATGCCTCCAATTATTATGTTTGGCTGGCAAAAATCACTATTTTGCTAGATGATCTAATTTTGGCTGATTATGATACATTTGATATTCCTCATTTAAAAGCTGCCTTCCAAAATAGGTTAATGGAACCATGACTGGAAAAATTAGATACAAGTATTTGTCACTTCTGTGGTTTGTTCTCCTGAAGTTGAAATCAGCTTTGCATTTAATTAAAGTTTGCAGCTTTGGGCAATGTCCTTCAGAAATCCTTGCAGTGTTGTACATGAAGTTAGGTATAAATTGTTTGAGATGGGGAGACAGATTTAATTGTGAGATACCATTGTGGAACCTTCAGCTTTTTGAAGGCTACAAAATTCTTCAGTGTCTCTTTGGGGATCAAACACTCACTAGTGATTGCTTACATGGAAAAAAAGCATTTGTTTTGTCCCCGAGCCCTGCATAAAGCCCCTAGTTCCTCTTTGTGGGCTAGAGTTGATCCAAACTGAAGTTTCATCCAGAGAAAACAGACGTGTTCCTGGTCAGTCAGAAAGTGGATCAAGGAACAGAGATTGAGTTTGTGTTGGATGGGATTACACTACCCTTATAAACACAGGTCCACATTTTAGTGTACTTCTGCATTCAACCCTGAGTGATTCAGTAGTGGCATTTGCACAGACAAAACTAGTGCTTCCACTGCACCCATTCCTGGGGAGGTCTAATTTGACCACAGTGACGCATGCCATAACTGTTCATATTTAGATTAGTGTGATGCACTTTATGCAGAGGGGGAGGCTACTTGTGAAGAATGTTTGGAAAGTTCAGCTGGTTCAGAGAGCTGCTGCCAGTCTGTTGACTAGGGCTGACTACAGACAGCATCCAGTTCCTTTGGTGTAGCAGATTCATTGGCTCCCAGTCTCTTTCTGAACACAATTCAAAACATTGTTTATGACTTCCAAAGCTTGCGTGCAGGCTATATAAAAGACCATATTATGTTTAATTTGTGTATATTTCTATTAATATATCGGCCCAACCTATCTCACAGGGTTGTTGCTGTGAGGATAAGACTGAGAGGAGAAATGTAAGCCACCTCGAATTCCTTGAAAGATGAAAATGATGGGATATAAATATAATGGGATATAAATATAATCAATCAATCATCTTCTGTGGAGCCTTATACTAGTCTGGATTGCAGTAGAGAAACGTACATTTACTTGTTTTCACATCAGCATCATCAGGTTTACTGCTGTGCCAAAAGAGAAAACAGTTCACCTAGGCCTGTTAATCAGAAACAATTGGTGGTTGCCTACTTAATCACACCAGCAACATGCCAAACTGTACGAAGAATTGTGCTGGATGAGTTCAAAAGCCTATTTAGTTCTGTATCCTGTTCCCACAGTGGCCAGTATGATGCCCATGCAAAACACACAAGCAGGATGCAAATGCAGTGCTACCCTCCCACTTGTGTTGGTGTGTAAGGGGCATTCAGAGTCCTTGTTGCCCCAGATGAAGTGCTAATGTATAGTTATCATGACTAGCTTCCCTTGATAGCTGAATTCTCCATGAACATTTCTCATCTCTTTAGAGCTGTCCACACAGGTTGCCATCGCTACATCTTACCAATTCCACAGTTTAAGCAAGTGCTGAGAGAAGAAATGGTACTTTCTACTATCTGTCCTGAATCTCCCACCATCCTTCTTCATGATATAAACTTAGGTTCTAATAGTGTGGGAGAGGAACTGGAACTTCTTCCCATTTGCTTTCTCCACACGTAGTTTTGTCGGCCCTTATCCTGTCTGCACTTGTTTTTGTCTAAGCTAAAAAGTTCCCTGATTGAGAAAAGGTCTGGAAAAGGTTAAACCTATAATTTAATCAATTCTTAAAAAGCAATTGTTAGAAGAACTTATTTATTTATTTAAAACATTTATATGCCATCCCTTATGCATGGCATCTCAGGACAGCTTGCAATTATTTTAAAAACCCTGCACAAGACAGTCACTTTTATAAAAGAGCTGTTATCCTTTCTAAGATGAGGCCAGCTATGAGTTAAGTGTACATGCATCTTAAGAAAAAAAAGGTTTGATTTTAGTTTTAAGCCTATTTAGGCAATTGTGAATGATTACTTGATCACTTGACTAAATCTTCTGTGAGCAAACAGGTGCAGTTCTAAACATACTTACCTAGAAGAAACCCTCACTGAATGCAGTGGAGCAGCTTCTGAACAAACTTGCATAGGATTGTGCTGTTTTCTTTGTCTGACTGACACCCTGTTTTCAAGTCATTCCACTCCCCACTCCGTTTTCCTATCTTCTGTTCCATAGATAGATATCTAGATCTGGCTCCAAGTGACAAAAGTGGCAGTCCTGTGTTTTTGCTTTACTTATATGTATTGATGTAGCACAGATACTCTGAAAACATACACTAATTATGTTAAAATGTTCTTTTCCTCCTCCAGCACTGCTGTTTATCTTCATACATTTCTCAGATATAATGCATTTGATTGCATTGATTGATTTTTGGAATGTTCAGATTTGCTTTCCTGTAAAGATAAATATGTTGCTGTAGAAGACAGTTTAAGCATCAAAGCATTATGTTGTAACCAATATCTGAGGTACACTTGTTTTCATTAGATCCATACAGGTTTACAGCATGAAATAATTTGGCCGTGTCAACCCAGCTGTGTCCCACTGGATGAAAAACTCCTGCCTGAGCTGCTTAAAGAAGCAGGCTATGTTACTCACATGGTGGGGAAGTGGCATCTAGGAATGTACAGAAAGGAATGCCTGCCAACCCGCAGGGGGTTTGATACTTATTTTGGTAAGTGGCACTTCCTTTGCTCTATCTGCCTTCCTCTGTGTAGGATACTGCCTTCTAGATTCCATTATAGCTTCATTGTTTGCTTCAAACAGAGTTGTTGAACTTCCAGCCTGTAGGCCAAATCCAGTCCACTTGGGCTGCCCAGGTGGTCTCAGTGTTTCTCCTTTTCACTGACACTGATCCTCAGGTAGCTTCCCAATTTTTGCTGTTTTTCCTTACCTAGAGTTTGAAATGGTGCTTTTAAAGTGCACTTGCCAGCAGTAAGAATTTTCAGCTAAAACCTGCCGGTATGTTTAATATTTTTGGCCCCACCTTTATCGCTTGTGGCCCAAATCCACTACCTAATGTGGCTCTCAAGAGTGTCTCTGAAATGAAATTTAGCCCTCAGCTGAAAGAAGTTCAGCACCCCTACTTAGAGTGGGCATGGCTCTCCAGGTATTGTTAGGTTCCAATTCCCATCAATTCTGAGCACCAAGGCCAGTGACCTGGCATTAACAACCTGAAGGGCCTCAGGTTTTCTGTCCCTGCCTTAGAGGATAGAAAGGGTAGAAAATATTACTTGCAAATTCATATTTGAGGTAGGTGTGAGAAATGGCAAGAGTTGGATGTGAATCTTGCAAAGGTAAGAGGAGGGCACAGAAAAGTTGACTTGGTTATAATAGTCATGGTGGTCCAGTTGGGGACTTATTTCCCTATATATATTTGAATGGTAGTATATTGCATTGGACATTTTTTGCTTCTCCATAGAGAACATAGAATAGCAGAGTTGGAAGGGGCCAAGAGGAACAACCACCTACTTAGTGCAGTACTCCAAGGTAAACCATTCCTCTCAGATGGCTGTCCAGTTGCATCTTAAATGCCTTTAGTGTGGGACAGCCCACAACTTCCCTAGATAATTGGTTCCATTGTTGTACTGCTTTATTAGTCAGGAAGTTTTTCCTGATGTTCAGCCAGATCCTGGTTTCCTGAAAGATTCTAGCCTTCTTTGTGACTGCCTTTCAAATGTTTGAAGAGTGCTATCATATCTCTCCTCAGTCTTCTCTTGAAGCTAAATGCACCCAATTCTTTCAATCTATCCTCATATGGCTTTGCTTCCAGTCTCTGGATCATCCTTGTTGCCCTCCTCTGAACCCTTTCCAGCTTTTCTGCATCTTTCTTAAACTGTGGTGCCCACAAATGAAAGCATTACTCAGGTGAGACCTAACCAGTGCTGAGCAGAGGGGAACTAAAATTTCACATGATTTGGAAATTATATTTCTGTTAATGCAGTTCAAAATAGCATTTTCCATTTTCGCAGCCACATTACATTGTTGACTCATATTCAACTTGCGATCTACAACAATTCCAAGATCTTTCTCACTTGCAGTATTGTAGAGCCAAGCATCCCCCATCTTGTAATTATGCATTTGTTTTCATTTTCCTAGGTGCAGAACTTGCCATTTGTCCCTATTAAATTGAATTCTGTTGCTTTCAGTCCAGTGCGCCAACATTTCAAGATCACTTTGAATCTTGTTTCTGTCATCCAGGGTGTCAGCTGTTCCACCCAGTTTTGTGTCATCTGCAAATTTACCACCCAAAGAGCCTGTCTTGGTCAATAGGTGGTATAGAAATTAGTTAAATAAATTCATAAGCATTCCTTGCACTTCCTCATCCAAATCAATAATAAAAATGTTGGCAAACACTGGGCCCAGGACTGAACCCTGCGGTATCCCACTTGTTACCAATGCCTTGCCTGAGAATGTGCCATTGATAAGCATTCTTGGAGTCTGGTTCTGTAGCCAACTGTAAATCCACCTGATAGTTGTTCTGTCTAGCCCACTGTTAGCTAGCTTGATAATTAGGATATCATGGGGTACTTTGTCAAAAACTTTGCTGAAGTCAAGATCTATTACATCCACAGCATTCCCACAGTCTACCAGGGAGGTTACTCAATCAAAAAAAAATCAGATTAGCCTGGCAGAATTTGTTCTTGAGAAATCCATGTTGCCTTCTAGTAATCACTGCATTGTTTTCAAGGTGTTTGCAGATTGACTGCTTTATGATTTTCACCCAGGGACTTATATCAGATGGACTGACTGGTATTTCTCAGGTTTTTCTCTTTTTCCTTCCTTGAAGATGGGAACATCATTAGATAGACTCCTCATTGGATTGCACTTCTAATAACACAAGTTTTGAGGACCAAAGATATTGCAAAAATCCTTCCTATAGGAGTCAGGATTTGATTCATGCTATATAAATCAGAAATGGAGGTCCTCCAAATTGCAAAGTTTGCCCATTTGTCCAGGGGAGGTTGGGTTCCTTCTGCAAGCAGTGCAGAGAACCAGTGATCAGTGATAACAGTGAGGATCTCTATTACTTAGCATAGCACTCCACTTCCCACATTGGAAGGAGAGTGGTATGCTAAACCTTCTCCTCTCCCACCATCTTTCCCAATGGTAGAAGGCATGGGGGAGGCAAAGCTTCTCTCGCTAAGGCATGGGGTGGAGGGACTCCAGTCCACGCCTTGGTTGAGGAGGGTTCATTGCATGAGGGCTGAAATGTGAAGTCAGAGAAGAATGAAGATGGCTTCATTCCTCTATTGGACGGTGACGAAAGAGCAAAGAAGACTGAGCTGGTATCACTTTTCTCTTCTCCTGTGTTCCCTTAGCTGAGGAAGGACCAGGCAGGGCAGGGCAGACCAGGCCAGGCTACCTAGCTCTAGCTGGTGCTTCCACTGGAGACTCAATGATATTAGAGAATGGGGCTTCACGACTTGACCTCATTCAACCACTGCATCCCAAATAGGCTCACCCCGGATGTCAAGCAGTTGTGCTCCTAAAGGATTTATACCCTGGCTTAAGGCAAGGAGCATATACAATTTAGTGGGAAATAATTTGGGACAGTACCCTCTACCCCTTGAAGTCTTTGAAGGTTACCTGTTGGTTAATTCAACTTAACCACATCACAATCAGCTACCAGTCAAACAAGTTTATATGGCTATCCTTCTGTGTTTTGAAAAGGTGATCCTTTATTCTGAAGAGACTCACTCACCAGTTGGTGTCAGCAGCAGATCAGAAATGTTTGCATGGAAAAACATTCTAATCAATACGATACCCTCTGCAGAGCAGTCTTATCTTCATCTCTTACTGCAAGCATTATTCAGTTTACCAAGCAATGCTAATATTTTTAATGAAACTTTAGCATTGCTGCTGCTGTTTTTGCTTCTGACATGCTATAATATCAATTTCAGTATCTGTGATATGTTTGCCAGTTTTGAGAACCTCGTTGAACTGTTTTTAAACTTTAGCAAGAGTGTGTATGTTAATATTTTGCTGTGTTTCTTTCAATACTTGAAATGAAATATATTGCCAAATTGGTTTTTTTTTTTAATTTCCTTTGGTGTATTAAAAGAATCCTGTCCAGGCAAATTTCTGAAAGTGACCTGTGAATCCAGCTTTGATTTTTACTTTTAAGTCCGCTTCTGAATTGGTGGTATGCGCAATCTCTTTTTCCTTTTTCTTGTTCTAGGTTACCTTCTTGGAAGTGAAGATTACTATTCTCATGAGCGCTGCGTGCACATTATATCCAAGAATGTAACCCGTTGTGCCCTTGATCTTCGAGAGGGAGAAGAAATTGCAGATGGATTTAAAAACATGTACTCTGCTAATATATTTACAAAAAGAGCTCTGGATCTTATAGCAAATCACGAAAAAGAAAAGGTACAAATTGTCTCTCTTTTCTAGAAGATCAAGTTACATTTTAATGCATTTCTGGTCAAACAGGATGAAACATTGTGCTACTATTATATGCTTAAAATGGTAAAGGTAAAGGTTTCCCCTTGACGTTATGTCCAGTCATGCCTAACTCTAGGGGGCGGTGCTCATCTCCGTTTCCTAGCCAAGGGAGCCAGCGTTAGTCCGCAGACAGTCTCTGTGGTCATGTTGTTGGCATGACTAAACACCGAAGTGCACGGAACGCTGTTGCTTGCCCACCGAAGTGGTACCTTTTTATCTACTTGCATTTGCATGCTTTCGAACTGCAAGGTTGGCAGGAGCTGGGATGGAGCAACAGGAACTCACCCCGTTGTGCAGATTTGAACCGGTGACCTTTCGATCAACCAGCCCAGCAGCACAGCAGTTTAAACCACTGTGCCACCTGCAGTCCCATTATATGCTTAGTTATAAGTTAATTGGCCCTTTATGATAAGAACATATACCTAGGTACATCAGTGAAGCATTCAGGTCTTTAATTACTGGTACGGTGCAATCTTTTCTGATCAGTGAAAGATTCTGATCAGTCCACCCTAAGTCTTGCCAGCTAGAGCATGACAGGTTGGGAGGAACAAAAGATATTTTCCCCCTCTAATTCCTCCCAAACTGCATTTAATGTTAGACAAACTTCTGAATCTGTCTAATCCCATTTTCAGAGAAGCTTTCAGAGGCCACATGCCGGTAATAAGTTGGGATGAAGGCAAAAGGTGATGCACCAAGGTGCAAAGGAAGTTGGAGCCAAATGTGCCAGCATATGTTAGACCAAAGCTCTTACAGCGTTCAATCAAAAATCCATGAACATCCTGTTGCTTGGTTGTTGTGGTTACATGTGAACCTAGAACTGAAGTCAAACAACCTAGAATTTAACCCAGCAATCACCTATGGTTTGTTGTTGAGTTAATTCCGGGTTAACGCCTTAATGCTTTGTTTAGATGTAACAATAACAACCCAGGAACAGGATATGTTTCTATGTTTGATTGTAAGGAAGAAGCAAGCAGGAGGTAGTATCCTTGCTCGCTGCCATGCAGCCATAATAAACTATGGGTTGTTAATTGCAAATTGGTTCTAAGTCTTAGATTTTTCCCAGGTTGTTGTGAACATGAAATGGCAAGAACCTCAAGGAAGGGTCATAACTGACTGGCAAAGCAGGTGCTTTCCATGCTGAAGGTCCTAGGTTTAATCCCCAGGTAGGGCTGGAAAAACTCCAGCTTGAGTCCTGGAGAGCTGCTGCCAGTTAGTGTTCATGGCACTGGTCTAAATGGACAAATGGTTTGGCTCAGTACAAGGTAATATACTATATTGCTCATGTTTCAGCTCTTTTCATTTCCTTCATGGACAGTCATAAGTACATGCAACACCAACATAGCATGCGTTGTATTCTTCTAATTCAATAGCTAGTGTGCCCGATTCTAAATTGCTGCAGACTTTGCTAATCAAAACAAGTTGAATTTAATTAACATTTTCTGTACCATCCAACAGCTGGCGCTTTCTGGGCAGTTCACAACACTTTAAAAACCATTTAAGCCTGCCTGCCGTAGTTATCCATCAAGCTAGCATGTTGAATCACCTTTGCTAAGCTGGCCTGCAGCCAGATGGGTAACTACATAGGTGAAGTGGAGAAGGGGTTGGACATGATGGCCTTATAAGCTTCTTCCAACTCTACTGGTATACTATGCTATAAAAATACAGTATATATTTCAAAATGTTTAAAATTGTGGTATGAAATAGAAGTAAAACAAAGTAGGAATTATTATTATTATTTTAATAATAAATAATAATTATTAAAATTATTAAAATGATAATACTTATAATAATAATTATTCTATAGTGCCCAGTAGCTGAAGCTCTCTGGGTGGTTCACAATAGCAGATAAAATATGTAACAAGAAAAATGTAATTAAAAACAGCCAGCAGCAGTGCAAGGATTGAATGTACAGGATGGGATTTGAAACAGATTGAGACATAAATTTCTGTGACAATATGAACTTCATCTGGTGTTATGAAAGGATAGTGCAAGTGTCAGGTGAGCTTCACTACAGAGTTCATTCCATTGCTAGGACGGCACCACAAGGAAGGCATTTTTCTTAGTAACCACCCATCTGAATTCCTTTGAGAGGGCCTCCCTAGCCTGGCACATACCCACTGTTAGAACCTGCCGAAAATACAGATGGAAAGGCTTTCTCTGAAATGTTCCTTATCCTTGGCAACTCAAGACATAAGGAAGGCTGTAGTTGCAAATGCAAGTTGATCAGTCATTCTTTTGATTCTTGCATTTAAACACTGTGCTCTCTCTCTCTCTCTCTCTCTCTCTCTCTCTCTCTCTCTCTCTCTTGCTCACATGTGTGCATGTATGCACTATAGCCTCTCTTTCTCTATCTTGCTCTGCAATCTGTCCATGACCCTCTTCAAGTACCTGAGAAATACACAGAACCATATTATTTTATCAAAGATGAAAAGAGGCGTAAATATGCGGGAATGGTATCTATTATGGATGAAGCTGTAGGAAATATCACTATGGCCCTGGAGCGGCATGGACTCTGGGACAACACTATTCTCATATTTTCAACAGGTAAGAATGCATATATTAGTATGTACATAGTAGCATGTTGTCTTGCATATTGAACTAATTATCAGAGAGCAATAGAAATGCTACCTACACTGTTACCTCTTCTTAATTATGTGGGAAGGGACAAGTTGCCACTTGCTGGATGGAAAAGGAAAGGCATTCTCCATGTGTTCAAAGACACATTTATTCTTGTTGGCCAGTAGGAATAGTTTTTGGTTACAAAGCATGGGTATAATTTGGGAATTCCTCCTTAGAACTGTTGTTCCTTCTTTGATGGATGGATGAGACTAAGCTGATCTTTCCTTAGTGCCTTGCTTTTCCTGAGAGGTAGGGAACAAAGTCTCCTAGCAACCCTTGGTTCCATAGTCAGTGGCAGAGGCCAGATGTGTGACCTTTCTGTTGGTTTAATAATTTAGCCCTAATTTCTGAAGTGAATGGATTGTGCATCATAACATTAGGACAAGCAGCTTTCCTCCATTCTGCACCATTCCTTTATATTTCTATACTGACCCTGCTCTGTGTTCTGATCTGCCTCCCGTCTGGATGACTTGGAATATTTCCAGAATTAACCCCCAAGTTGGTATAGTTTCCCACAACTTTCAATTATTCACTCCTTCCCTTGCCCTCTTCCTTTCTAATGCTATTGATGTGCATCAGTACATAGGTCCATTAGATTAGATAGTAATGTGGTGTGATCAGCTAATTATTTCCACATTCTTTTTTGAACTGTGGTCTAATCAATATGTATATGTGCCATCATTGAGCAGCAATCTGTAAGGAAAGAGAAGATGTGAATGGAAGAGTACAGCATAATATACCTGTGTAGATCACAGTCCAGGACATGGCAGATTGCTAGTACATTGGCACCATTCCTGAACAAGATCATTAATTTAGAGCCCTACGATCTAGGGCAGCGTTTGGCAACCTGTGGCTCTTCAGAAGGAGCACTGCAATTCCCATCACCCCAACAATTGGCCATGTTGACTGTGTCTGATAGGAGTTGCAGACCAACAATATCTGTTGGATCACAGGTTGCCCACTCTGATCTTGGGGAGAAATGCTATTGGGCAGAATTCTGTAAGCATCACTTCCTAAGATAATACAGTAATTTGACTTCTGTAAGCCAATTTGCATGATCATCATGGGTCAAACAAGGCATGGTGGCCTGTTTAAGCTGTGGTACATACTGGACATCATCTGTCTAATCACTTGCCTTAACATGCCTTATGTTGGCAAGAATTGTTGGAGGGGAATAAGGCTCAAATAAATCAGGGACCACTGTTGAGTTGCTTGAGGGTTGTTTCCCCCTTCAGCAAACCATGCTGTCAAGTCTAGAGAACATGACAAGCTGTACCTGAGTAGGTTATTAGGCAAATGGTACCCAGCATGAATTACAGCTTAAACTGTGCCTCATGTGAACCAGCTCAGTGCCTTGGATCCTCTTAAGAGTTGAGAGTAAAGGATAATACTGAGTTAAGGCTATGCCAGTTTGACTCTGCAATGAAAGAACATAACTGCCTCTTTCCTCAGCATGACATCTGCAGAAATTGAAGTTGCTTTGATGTAGTCCTGATATGATAGTGCATTTGCAGCAATCAGTGTATTTAACGTTGATAAATACTACTGCAATTAATTCTACTTTGCTGCTGAAATCTCTGTATAGACTGACAGTTTCTTGGGACTGATTCATACAACCCTAATGAAGCAGGTTGAAACTGCTTTTCCAAAACACTTGAAATGGTTAACATTATGCAATAAAACATACTCATTGTACACAGTCATAGCATCTAGATTGTTGTAGCTCTTTCTGTATTACTGCTGGTAAATGAATTAAGAAACTGCTGCTTGCCATGGCTTTTTAATGTACATAGATGTGGTAAAATAAAAATCACCACAGTCTTCATACATGATGCTGTACACTGTTTTTTCTGGTGTCAGTGAATATCTTTGCAGGGGAAAAAAGTGTGTATGATGAAATCTTGGAATGCTTTCTTGGTATACACATTTACAATATTGACATGGTGAAACCCTTTATCAAAACAAATTCTACCATACTGTTGCACTTTGATGTATGGTTGAATAATATGTTTAAGTGACGGCAGTGATGGATTTTATTCCTTTGTTAATAATGGACTCTATAGTTATGGGAAAACTGACCAACTGAGGCTGCAATCCAATGCCCGCTTACATTGAAGTTAAACCCAATTAAACTGAGAACTTTACACATCGTAGCAACAGCTACTGTGTCCCAGAAATTGCATGGGAAACTCAGAAGCAACAAAAAGAAACAGGTAATTATTGGGTTAACTCTGGAATGTTTAACCCATAAGCAACCCATTGTTCCATGTTTTCACCTTACAAAGTAACATAGGTATGGGGAATTCTGGACTTGTTCATTGAAAGCAGAACTGCCAAGTGTGCAGCTAGCACACTTCATTCATCTCCAGAATTGCTGTCATGACATGCAATCAAGACAGTGAAGACAGTGCACTGGCATGTATGGGATTGCATGCTCAGTTTCACTTCCTAAAGTGTAATAATGAAGGAAAATATGGTGGCTTTCCATTTCTACATAAGAAATTTTGGCCTAAATGTGTCCTGAGAATATGCTAGTTGGCAGGAAAAGACATTTTGAAGGGTCTTGTAAAATAGCCAAAGGGATACCCAGTGAGCTTTAAAACAGACTAGCAGAATCTACAAGCAAGGTAATACTGTCTGAGCATTGATATATTATTCTATCAGAAGGCAAGATGTTTTTAAATGCCCCTTTCAGACAATTTTAAGAACCCCAATTTTGTTTTTGAAAAAAATAAAATAACTATGCGAACTTTGTTCTTGCAACACTAGATGGTCCATTGGTTTAGTAATGTTGTATTAGCCTAAGTAGTAGAATGATGCATAAAATAGTGTACCAGTTTTCACCTCTCTCTGTGTTCTGGAATTGCTTTCCCTACAGCTGTTTTAGTGCCAAACCTAACCTGGAACCGCAAGGAAGCATAAGAAAGATTGTCACCTGACAAAAAGTGTTGAGACTTTAGCAACTGCTTGATAGGCAGAAATTCAATTGATGCAGTTGCTGTAGACACAGATACAAAATAAGACAGTTTCTGTCCTACCTTAAAAATGCCAGAAGAGGGCGCCACAAGATTTGCAGTAGGCCTTATCTTTTGAGAATTGAGTTAGAATGAGTGGACACACTCATGCATTTCCACAATGGTTCATATTACTCTGTTAATTTCCCTTTGATTTAAAGTATCACAGCTTTATTTCTTTTCTTCTTCTTTTCTTTACTATTACTACTACTACTTCCTCAGCCTTTATTGCAGTGTTCCAAGAGCAACGAAACAAACAAGGATAGCAGGCTATCCCTAGAGATACTTCATGTAGAGCTTTTTTTGTGTGTGTGTAGGGCTTTTTTCTGGTAGTTGTGGGGCTGGAAAGTGCTTGGTTCTGTTGACAACAGGAAAGGCTGTGGTATATTTAGACTGTCAGATTCATATCAATACTGAAGTTCACTGGGCAACCTTGGGCAATTCACTATCACTCCACCATCCTACCTCACTTGTTGTGAGGAAAAAATGGAAGGGGGATATGTAAAGGCATTTCCTGTAGTCTCACATGGACCTGTGACTCATTAGGAATCCACTTGGAGCAGAACTGGCTGCAAAGGGCTCTGGGATACTGGCCAGAGGACTGAGGGGGAACAAGCAGCAGTGAGCCTGACTGTCTGAGAGGCACACGGTGGGCTGTTTTGCGAATTATTTAGTTAAATTTATTTATAACCCTACTGCATGGCATCTTCACAGAATGGCTTAGTGTGGCATGCAAACACAGGCAGCATCTTAATCTTCACAATAGTTTTATAAGGCAGGCCAATATTGTTGGCCTATCCTAAGGTAAGCCCCTTCCTTTCAATGGGCCAGCTCCAAGTAAAGCTAACATTGGCTACAATACATTATCATCCTATATTTCAGGTGCGGTAGGGCAAGGTTGTGGGAATCCTATGGGTACCCTATGGTCACCTTATGGCTAAAGTAAAATAGGAATTGTCGTGTGCTTCACTACAATATATGGGATTTCCTGAGGGCAGCTCTTAACTATATAATGGCCCTAACCCAGTTTGCATTTTACAACAGCCCATGACTGTCTGGGAGCGAGTGGGCACACTGCCTGTAGCATAGCAGGCACTTCCGCTTTAATCAGTTGCCCACAATTGGCTCATTCATGGGTCACTGAGTATGAGATGTGAACCTGAAGCACTGGGGTGTTTCAGGGCTAAATAATGCATCAGGTCACCCAACAATAAACCACCTAAAGAGAATATCAGTAACTTTTGTTACTGAACTAAAGTTCTTCTGATAGAAGTTTTCTTTTGTTATATCAGGTCATTTTTGTTATGTGCCTCCGAGTACTCAGGACTGAGTGGGCTGTTAATCTAAATAAATGCATGGTTCTATTGAATAAAGCCAAGAGAAATGCCTAGCATAATAAGACAAATTAAGGTGATATTTTAAAATAACTACAACACAAAGTTTTATTTGCAAATTTAAATGAAGAACAGGTACGTGTGTTAACTTTCTAAGTCTATCATCATCATCATTGATAAATTTAAGCTGTAAAATCTATTTTACTACTTTGATGTAATGGTGCAAAAAAGCTGTACATAAGTAAATTTGTTTCTGTTTGTTTTGCAAATGACAGAATTGTAGCTGTGTTTTCACTCATTCATTGCTAGTCAGAAATTGGTTGATACATGCCTGGAACAATACAAATAGCAGTTTTTTGCCCCTAGAGAGGGCCATGTTGTTTCACAACATGCACCAGATTAAGTTTTGAAATGATAAATTAAGTTTAAACAGATAATATGGGGAGAGACTTTGGAGTTCAAACTGAGGGCAGAATTAGTTGCAGATGCATACCTTGAGCTGCTTGTATGCAGCGTTGATCTTTGATGTATTTTTAAAATGTCCAACATTGTGGGATTGTAAAGAAGTGAACCTAAG